ATATATCCTGCCAGCCCTTTCTGGCCTGCCAGGTCTCTGTGGAGAGGTCTGCTGTTACCCTAATATTCCTCCCCATGAAAGTCAGGGACTTCTTGTCTCTTGCTGCTTTAAGGATCTTCTCTTTATCTTTGGAATTTGCAAGCTTCACTATTAGATGTCGAGGTGTTGAACGGTTTTTATTGATTTTAGGGGGGGATCTCTCTATTTCCTGGATCTGAATGCCTGTTTCCCTTCCCAGATTGGGAAAGTTTTCAGCTAGGATTTGTTCAAATACATATTCTGGCCCTCTGTCCCTTTCGGCGCCCTCGGGAACCCCAATTAAACGTAGGTTTTTCTTCCTTAGGGTGTCATTTAATTCCCTTAATCTGTCTTCATGGTCCTTTAATTGTTTGTCTCTTTTTTCCTCAGTTTCCCTCTTTGCCATTAACTTGTCTTCTATGTCACTCACTCGTTCTTCCACCTCGTTAACCCTCGTCGTTAGGACTTCTAGTTTGGATTGCATCTCATTCAGTTGATTTTTAATTTCTGCCTGATTGGATCTAAATTCTGCAGTCATGAAGTCTCGTGAGTCCTTAATGCTCTTTTCTAGAGCCACCAGTAGCTGTAGAATAGTGCTTCTGAATTGGCTTTCTGACATTGAATTGTAATCCAGATTTTGTAGCTCTGTGGGAGAGAGGGCTGTTTCTGATTCTTTGTTTTGAGGTGAGGTTTTCCTTCTAGTCATTTTGCTCAGTGCGGAGTGGCCAAAAACAAGTTGTATTGGGAAAAGGAGAGAAAGAGAGAAGGAAAGAAAAGAGAAAAAGAAAAAAGAAAAAGAAAAGAAAAAGGAAAGAAGAGAAGAAAAAGGGAAAGAAAAAGAAAGGTGAAAAAAAAGGGGGTGGGGGAAGCAATCAGAAATCAAAAAGACAAGAAAAAAGAAAAAAAGAAAAAAAAAACACGGGGGAGTATTTCTGTAGACTTTAAGTCCTTTGACTTCCCCTGGAACTGGTCCGTCCAGCTGGTCTTCTGGGGGAGGGGCCTGTTGCGCTGATTTTCAGGTGTTAGCACTTGGGGGAGCTGCTCTGCCCCTGCCTGCTGCAGGTCTCAGCGGGGGTTGTTTACCTCGTGAGGTCTCAGGAGGATCAGCCGCAGTTGCTATGGCAACTCTGGAAGCCTGGATTCAGCCTCCGCAGGAACTACGGGGCTCGGGGGGCTCGGGGCTCTGGGCTCTCCGTCTGCAGGGCCTGGAGGCTCCGGGGCGGGGCCGCTGATCTGCTCAGCTCGGGGCAGGAGCGTCCTTGCTGTCCTGGGCCCTCCCGGCCTCTGCCTGTCCTGGGGGGAGGCCGGATCCTGGGCTGTGTCCCGGCGCCCTGTGCTCCGGGGCCTGCGTTGTTGGATTTGCGCTCCCGCCCCGCAGCTCCCTCCCTGGAGCCGCTCCTGAGCCCCTCCGAACTGCTCCGGTGCGTGCTGCAGCCCTTAGGGAGCTTGGAGCACTCCCCTGCGCTTGCAGGTGTCTGTTAGTGTCCCCGGGAGCCCGAGGGCATCCCCGCCCTCCTGGGTCCTGCTCCAACTCCCTGAGAGCCCCTTTCCGCCCGTCCGGGAAGGTTGGTGCAGCTCCTGCTTCTCCGGGACGGGGCTCTCCTGTCCTGGGGACACTCGCCCCGGCCTCAGCCCGGCTCCTCGCGGGGCCCCTCCCCCTCGGAGGCCTTTTGTTTCTTTATTTCTTTTCCCCCCGTCTTCCTACCTTGATAGAAGCGTGAACTCCTCTCACTGTAGCATTCCAGCTGGTCTCTCTTTAAATCTCAGGCCGAATTCGTAGATTTTCAGGATGATTTGAAGGTTATCTAGGTAATTTGTTGGGGACAGGTGATTTGGGGACCCTACTCTTCCGCCATCTTGCCCCTCCTCCCAGTCTTTGGTTTAAAATCTGATTTGTCTGATATGAGGATTGCTACCCCGGCTTCCTTTTGGGGTCCATTTGCATGGTTCTCCACCCCCTCATTTTCAGTGTGAAGGTATCTAGGTTTAAAATGAGTCTCTTGTAGACAGCATATGGATGGGTGTTGCTTTTTTATCCAATCTGAAATCCTGTGTCTTTTGACTGGAGCGTTTAGCCCATTCACATTCAGAGTAACTATTGAAAGATACGAATTTAGGGCCATTGTATTACTTGTACAGTCCCTGTTTCTGCAGATTGACTCTATTTCCTTGGACTCCCTCTTTGCTTACAGGATCCCCCTTAATATTTCTTGCAGAACTGACTTGGTGGCCACATATTCTTTCAGTTTCTGTCTGCCCTGGAAGCTCTGTGTCTCTTCTTCCATTTTGAGTGACAGCCTTGCTGGATAAAGTATTCTTGGCTGTGTGTTTTTCTCATTTAGTATTCTGAATATATCATACTAGTTCTTTCTGGCCTGCCAGGTCTCTTGGATAGGTCTGCTATTAATCTAATATTTCTTCCTTTTTATATTAGGAATCTCTTGTCTCGGGCTGTTTTCAGGATTTTCTCTTTATCCCTGAAATTTACAAGCTTCACTGTTGTATGTCGGGGTTTGATCTGTTTTTATTGATTTTGGGAAGGGTCCTGTCTACCTTTTGGCTATGAATGCCTGTTTCCTCTCTCAGATTAGGGAAATTCTCAGCTATGATTTGTTCAAATATAACTTCTGGTCTTCTCTGTCTTTATCTGTATGCCCTCAGGAATTCCAATAATACTGATATTATTTTTTTTTTCAAACTATTGTTATCTCAGAGCCTCTCCTACTGGGCTCTTAATTTTTCTCTTTTCTCCTCAACTTCCTTCCTTTCCATCAACTTGTCTTCTATGCCACTTATTCTCTCTCCTGTCTCATTTACCCCAGCTGTTAAAGCATCCAGTTTAGACTTCATCTTGGAGTATTTTTTATTTCTGCCTGATTAGATCTCATTTCTAAGAGATTCTCTTGAGTCATTTATGCTTTTTTCAAGACCAATTAATAACTTTGTAATTGTTCTCCTGAACTCCATCTCTGACATCTTACTTAAATCGTTATCCATTAGATCTGTGGCAGACATGAATATATCTGGTTCTTTCTTTTGCTTTGAATTCCTACTTGAAGTCATTTTGTTAAGTAAAGAATCACTGTACGAGTGGGCAGAGTCAAAAACATCAACCATGACCCAAGCAAAATACACACTAGATAACTCTGAAGAGGTCAGGAACTAGAAAATAAAAGAAACAAGATGAAGACAAAGAAAAAGCCCCCAAAAAAGGATGGGGGAGGGAAAGGGAGAGAATGGCCAGAGGAAGAAGGGTAGGGGCAGAGAGAATATAATCTCATAGCATGGACAAAACAAGGTGATCCACTTGGTGTATTTTGGTCTGTTTGTTAAAAGATACTAAATTCAAAATTATTTTTTAAAAAAGTAACACACATATGTATGTGTGTATATATATATACATATACACACACATTTTCTGTTTTGTGTATATGTTTATACACAAAAATTATATATTGTGTGTATATATACACACACATAAACATAAAATTGAATACATTAAATGAAGCCAAAGATGAAGAATATATCCATAACACGTAATTGCAAATAATAAGTTAAAAAAGAAAAGACCTAAAAACACAGAGTTAATAAAATAAGAAACTAGTTGAAACAAAAAATTTTTTAAAAATTGGAAAATTTTGAACTGAAAGATAAATCATAAGAAAATAAAACTTCAAGTTCTGTATACTATTTTCCCCAGTCCTGGAGTTTTCCAGTGCTTCTTGGTCAGTAAACCTGCTGTTTCCCTGTTCTTCCAGCTGGTCTTCTGAGGGAGGGGCCTATTGTGCTGATTCTCAGGTGTCTATTCCTGAGCAGAGATGTACCGCCTCTTGCCAGAAGGCATGCTAAGTGTAAGCTGTTTGCTGTGTAAGGCTTTGGTTCCCTGGAGTCTTTCCATACCTCTTTAGAGGGCGAAAACAAAAATGTCCCACCCAGATCTCCAGCCCCCAAGCTGAGAGATCCTGAAGTGTGCCAAACTCTGCAGACTCCTATGGTGCCTGCCCAATCATTCTCCTGGGGGTAGGCGAAAGGACTGATTTGTGCAATTTGTAGGGTTCCGGCAGGGAGAGCCTCTGCCTGCTTGTGTGTGCTCCCACTCCCAGAGGAAGCAGAGGGTCACCCGCTTCTGCCTGCTGCAGAGCCCTGGAACAGAGAGCATTCATCCTGTCTAGTGAGCATCCACTCCACCTTTCTCAGAGGAAGGCAGAAGGTTGCCATGTTCAGTCCTCTGCAGGGACCCAACACAGAGAGCCCTCATTGGATCCACCTTGGTTCCGGTTTATGGCAAAACAAGCTGAGTCTCCTCCCAGGCTTACTGAGTTAAACCCATTTCCCCACTCTTTTTTTTTTATTTATTTATTCATGACAGAGAGATAGAGAGAGAGGCAGAGACACAGGCAGAGGGAGAAGCAGGCTCCATGCAGGGAGCCTGACGTGGGACTCGATCCCGGGTCTCCAGGATCACACCCTGGACTGCAGGAGGTGCCAAACTGCTGGGCCATCAGGACTGCCCCCATTTCCCCACTCTAATGTTAGGGAACTCTACTGGCTCAGGTACCTCTCTTCCCTCTATGCCTCTGGAAATATTGAGGTCCCACTGTCCCACTTGTGATTCTGCCCTGCTTCATTGAGCCCCTTTCAGGCAGGGAAGTCTCTCACAGGAGCAGATTTCTAGAGGTCCCAATTTTGAGCTCCTGGGCTGTGTCAGTTTCCCCAAGTGACTTACAAAAGCTGCCCTCCTCTGCTCCCCTGCCATTTATCTTCTGATATATCACCTCCTTTTTTCCTCTGCAATCCTACCTTGAGAAAAATGGTCACTTTTCTGCTTAAAGAGTTCCAGCTGTTCTTTCCTTACATCTCAAGTTGAATTTATAGTTGTTCAGAATGATTTGATAGTTATCCAGCTAACTTAAGGGGATCAGATGAATAAAGGACTCCTGCTTTCCTGCCATCTTGCCTCCTATTTTCATGTTTTCTTGTAGTCCTGGCAGCTGCTATGAAACTGCTATGACGAGGTATTTTTATCATGGCCGTACAGAGACTATGCGATCATGTACAGTAGAAGCATTGAGGTGGTGCCAATCCATGCAGGATCCTTCTACTAGTGTGAGTATTTGAAAGGAAAAAAAACTCACAGTAATTATTTATTTGTTTAAAGGAACCTTAGTCCTTGAATAGCTAACTTTTCTGCTTAAATTCCCCTAGATCAGTAAAATCAGATATTTTTTCCTCAGGTTTTCAAAGCATTCATTCATTTACCAGTGAAGTATATATTTGGGAAGAATATGAAACAGGAAAGACCTGAGAAGAAACCCATTTGTGTCACTTTTTAGGCAAAGTATCTTTAATACCATGAATATTTTACTGTTACTGATCTACCAGTAAAGTGCAAACTGTCCCAAAGTGCCTTAAAAGGAAGCTTTTCGTGATGTCATTGAAAGTTTTTGAAATCACAGATGCTTATTTTCATGTATTAGAACCAGAACAGTTCTGTTAGATGCTTCTTTTTTTTGTTAACCCTATCAGGAATCAAATTCCCTACCAACCAAACCAGCCAGGCACTCCTATACTTTTTTTCTTTTTCTTTTTGGAAGAATTTAGACAATTTGTTAGCTCCTTCCCACCGCTGTTTTGATATTTTTCTTTAGTTTTGATAAACACGGTTATGTATATGTTAATTTATTTTAATGTCATAGAACTGTTTCATTATCATTTTTGAACAGCTCTGTGTCAGTTTTGAAATCTTAGTTGCTTCTGTCGTTAACACTTTAATATCATTTCAGTGCTGCCCACAAGTTCCTATTTTCCTTTTCTGTGAAAGAAATAACCAAGGTGAAGGACAATATAGGAAAGAAAAGGCAGTAGAAGAAATAAGGAAAATATATAGAAGCATGAGTCTCAGTGTCTTTCTGGAAATCTTTTCTCTCAGGTTACCCAGATCCTGATTATGTTGAATTCAGGGGTTTTAAAATTTGGCTTCTGTATAGTTTATTGAAGTATGTCTTGATTTTTTTTTTTTTTTAAAACACAGCTCCTTGAACGACAACAAAAGATGTTACAAGCTTTTACAAAACATAATAAAATGATGAAAGATTGTTCATCTGGAAAAGGTACTTATTTTGGAATTATTCTGACTTAAAAATAATTTCTCATGTTGAAAATTTTTTTCTACCTTCATTCTTGGGCTTTCATTGCAGGATTTGACCGTCATCTTCTAGGTCTTTTACTCATAGCAAAAGAGGAAGGTCTTCCTGTTCCAGAGCTATTTACAGACCCACTTTTCTCCAAAAGGTAATATAATGTAGTGTTTTCTAACTTGATCAGTCAGATCCTTTTTTCTGAAGGTTAAAAGCTCTTCAGAAGGAATATAAATTTCTGTAAGCCTGGTAAAATATCTTTTCTTTATGCCACACAGTGGAGGAGGTGGAAACTTTGTTCTCTCAACAAGTCTGATTGGTTATTTAAACTTGCTTGGAGTGGTGGCTCCCATGGTCCACAATGGCTATGGATTTTTCTACCATATCAGAGATGACAGGTAAAGCTGCTCTTCTCATTCTTACTGTACTATTAGAGGAATGTCTTCCTTGTGCTGTGATTCTTTGTCACTTGCAACATAATTATTTTTACCAGTTTCTCTGTCGTGTTTTGGGACACTTTAGGCATTTCGTGCAGAACACCATTTAAGGTTCAGTGACATACCATCATCATCCTCAAAACTCAGTACATATATTAACATATTAGTTCCACTCAAGGTGTTTTATACTAAGTTCTGATAAAATTTGATTATAAATATGTGGTGGTTCATGTAGTCATAGATAGTACTGAAGTGTCCAAGATAATAGACTAGGTAAAGTAATTTATATTAAAAAAAAAAGAATGTCTTACCAATTCAGATGCATTTCATTTGTGTTGTATGAGGTTTGTGGAAAGAATGAGAAAGAAAATACTATAATCTGGTAGTTGGAGAACAAGGTAATATGATATTGGTAGAAAGGCTTAAAAAGCCCTCATTCACACAGTCTGGCCATCTCTTCTCAGAGGTCTTTGAGAATATGAGCTTTAAAAAAATGATGTGGCTACATTTAGCACTATGTGAATAAGACAATAAGCGTGGAGGCCTCAGAATGGGAAAAATTGAAAAGATAATATGTATGACATATTTCAGTGTGTAATATATTTTTATACTTTAACTTTTTTTTTTACTTTAACTTTTTAAAAGAGTTTATAGTCAGTGTTATTTTTCAAAATTTTATCATCTGTATCTATGTCAAGTGTCCTCTGTGCATAGTCTGTTATACCATAGGTACGTGTATTTGTTAGCATCTAAGTCCTAAATGATCTATTCCCATTATATTCAGTTCATGTATATTAGTGCACAAATTAAAGAGTAAATTACAAAGATTAAACATAGATCTTTTTTTCATAATAAAGTGTCAAAGGTCTAAAATCATCAGACACAGAAGATAAGTAAGCATTCTTACATACTTCCAGACAAATATGGATATTGTATTGTGTGCAGTGACAGGAGTTCCAGCCAGACACACCTCAGCTCTCTGACTTTAGAAGAAGTCCTGATCCTGGAGCAGAACTTTCATTCATTCATTCATTCATTCAGGAAGTATATAGTGAGAACTTGTATTTTAGGTGCTAAGGACATAAGACAGACAAGATTTCCCTTTTACAGATTTTATTTTCTACTCGGGAAAGAGAGCCAAAAGCAAACAAATAAGGAAGATAACTAATGATGAATGCTATGAGGGAAATAAACAAGTTGATGTGGTAGTAGACAAACTGGCAGCTGGGGAGTGAAATGGAGCTCTGCTTCATTTAGTGTGGTTCGAGAGGGCCAGTGAAGCCGAGATGTAAAGGAGGAGAAGGAATTACTCACATGAACAGCCAAGAATATAGCTCTCTAGACTCTGATCTGTTGTCTGCTATCTCCAGTGCTACCCCCACATTGAGCCACCACCTTCTCCCACTTAGGTTTTTGCAACAGGTTCTCCTGTGGTCTTCTTACTTCACCCTTTCCTTCCCTGCAGAACATTGTCTACGCAACAGCTCTTGATGCCCTTTTAAAAATGCCCTTCCACTCAAAATGTCTCAAGAGTTTATTTCACTCACAGTAATATTTGAAGTTCTCCTGTGAGATCCTGCATGATCAGGCTCTCAGTTATAGCTCTGACCTTACCTTCTAGAACTCTACTCCTGTTTCACTCTACTCCAGCCATTCTTCTTGTCTTCTTATACTTTGAATATAGCAAGAAAGCTCCCACTTCATGGCATTTGCAGTTATGATTCCCTCTGCCTTGTACTCTTCCTTGAAATATATGCAAGGATCACTCCTTTACTTCATATAGGTATTTGCTTAAAAATTTGCTCTCATCTGGGAGGCCTCCTCTGATAATCTAAAATAGCACCCCCCCACTATATTTTCTTTGTAACACTCATAACCACCCAGTGGGCGTACATTATTTGTATATTAATCTTTCTTTCCTTCCGAGAATACAGACCCATAAGAACAGGGTTTTTGATTTGTTTGTTTTATCTCCAGCTCTGTAACAATGCCTAGCAAATAAGTTGAATTTAATAAATATTTTCACAGTGGCTTTCTCGTTGAAAATAATTATATGGTCCTCAGTTAGGAAAGAGCCTGACATTTATAAGGACAGAAAAAGGCAATATAGCTATAAATTAGCAATGAAGTTGCAGTGGGCAGAGGCGGTAGAAGAAGTTGTTGAGGAGAGGTAGAGAGGAACTACATCTGGTAGGACAGCATTCTCAACTCTGAGTGCACAGTAGAATCACCTAGGGAGCTTTAAAAATATTACTTCTGGATACATTGATTTGGTTGGGGTGGTCGGTTGATAATAGGGCTTTGTAACATGGTAAGGAGTTGAGATTTTCTTCTAAGGATAATGGGAAGCATTTTACCGGTTTTTAAGCATGAAAGGTACACATGCTTTATTTGTATGTATAAAGGACTGTTGGCTGTTACACGGAGTGCAAGTAAGATGAACAGTAATATGAGCAAGAATGAGATGAGGGAAATCAATAAACACAAATGATAAGTTGAACAAAGGAATGGATAATGAAGGTGGAGAGAAGTGGAGGGATTTGAGAGCTATTTTGAAGGTGACTTACTGATGAATTGGTAATTTTTGATGGTAACTTTTATTGGAATGGTAAAAATTGGAGAAATGTGGTTGGGGTATGTTAGGATAGAATTAAGAATCTTGTTTTACATGTTGACTTTGATATTTAATAAAAAATGTATTCGTATATGAGAGGATTTGTCAGTAGGCATATGGTTATATAATTATGAATCTCACAAAAGAGGTCAGAGCTAGAGCTACACATTTGTAAGTCATTACTATGAATACATATTAAATAGTTTTCAAATGACATACATGGAAACTATACGGAAAGCGTTTTTCATTCATTGTTAAATGAATATTGGTTTGTTTTTTAAATAACATTTTAAATGTACTACATGCTCATAAAAAGTTTGTAAAAAATGAAAAAAAATGTAAGAACAGAATCATCTACATTTCCATTACAAGACACAAGTCTGTTATTATGTTTCTAGTCTATAATGCATATAGTGTATAATTTCTGTAAATTTAGATCACATTGTAAATATTTTAGTGTCCTTTTTGGGAAATTCATTTCCATTTAACATTATTTCAAGCAATTTCCACTGCTGTTAAATATGCTTTGAGATGTTTTCAAAGTTAAATAATGTCTTATGGATTTCTATAATTTTTATGTAACTACTTCCCTACTATTTTCAGTTTTTCATCATTACAACTAACGTAATGTAATGTAACGATATATTCCTTTTCATTTCATCACATCACAACTCTAGGCATTATAAGTCATTGTTGGCCAGTTTTATAGGCAAAAATAACATAACTTGTTGAATGCTTACAAAGCAAATTTTCTCTTCATTGGCATCTGTATACATTCTTTTATAAGTTATGCATGTAGGAAAGCTTCCTTTCTATAATTTAGAAAGATCACTGAATGTTTTAAAATGTCAGTACTTAAATAGCAATTGTTAATCATTGCAAAGAAATATATTTACATGGCTAAATATTCCAGTGTAGCTGGAGAATGATGAGTGATGATGAATCACTAGATGAAAACAAGGCAGAACTTTCTGTAGGTTTGTGGATATGTTTCAGCAAATATAACCAGTCAAACATAAGTTTCATCATTAAGCACTAGGCCAGAGCATGTTTTTATTGCATCTGCTTAATCGAAAAGTACATGTTGAAGTTTTAATTTTCTTTTTTAATGATGTGAACATTACATGATTATCCAGAAGCTTTGCATTGTACCAGCAGCATTTTGATTCCAATTTATGCTTAATGCATGGTTTGCTATGGAAATGTGAGTGTCTGGAAAGAGGAATGCTAGTTTCAAGAGGGTTAGTACTGCCAGATAGGGGATTTTTTTTTTTTTTTTTTTTTTTTATCAGGAGCCTCTAGAAGGAGATGGTGGAAGGCATGACTTTTCCCAAGAGAGTTTCTGTCTGGCTTTTCTAGAAATAGCTTTTCTCTCCTCTTATCCTTTCTCTGATTTTTTTTCTTTTTTAAACTGTCTTTAAGTGCTATATTCCTGAAAAAATAGTTCAAGTTTCATTGCAAACATTGCATGAATTCACCCTCGAGCTCACTATGTTTTAGGAAGGGGGTTTGTTTGGTTTTTTTCAGGAAGAGGTGGGTGGATTGGTTGAACATAGTGAGACCTTACTCCAGAGCGCTCTTGAGCTCTAATTTTTTTTTCTCTTTTGTCCTTAAGTCACACAGTACATTAGGTATTCCTAGCATTATGTATACATAGAATTTACCTTCAGTTGTGTCCAGTTACATGTACCTAATGTCAATAAGAATTCACACTTGATATATGAATAGCTAGATGGAATAAAGGTCATGGCTGTATTCATCATCACTTTGGAGCCTCTTTGTGTTGTGATTTTTGCATAGTACTTTCTCATTTTTTTCTTTGTGCTTCACAGGTTTCTTGTGATCTGTTCAACTTGGAAATCATGTCCAGAGACTGATGCAGAAAAGCTAGTTCTGCTGGTTTTTCATGCTTTGCATGATATGATGCAGCTAATGAACACTGCTCATCTTTAGAGACTAATCATTTATTAAGCATTTACAAAAATATTAAACTGGGTGTGGAGAGTGGGTTGGTGATGTGAGATAGAAAGGGATATTGACCCTAAAGGAAACCTATTAAATCTAGAAATTAGTAGAATCATGCTAAGTTTATTCTCACATAGAAGATTAAAGTATGAATTTTAAACTTCCTCTGATGCAGTAGCAGTACAGATATTAAATGTAGAACTATGAAAAAGTTGAAGATAAGCCTCAATAATGCAAATCTCTAAATTTTAATAATGCAAGTCTTACTCTAACTTACATTTTTGTTAGTTGCCCATATAGGTTATAAAATGCTCTCTCTGAACATCATTATAGGGTCTGTCAGGCACTCTAACATTTCCTATTTGCCAAAAGGAATGGAATACATGAGTAGATGTTAACTTCCCTGAAATCACTGCCTTCCACATGCACCACAGGAATACAAGCCTACTATGTTTGATGGGAAAGACCACTACAATTAAGTGGTCATTTGAAAGTAGAGATTCTGTTGGACAGAAGAATTAGAGGAAGGTTTATACTCTCTGACACACACACACACACACACACACATACACACACAGAAAAGCCTTAACAAAATTCGAGTATATTGTAATTAGTTTTGTGAATATAAAATTAAAGCACTTATATTTAAAATTAGAATTAGTGACTTTAAGATTGAATGTTGAATCAAATTCTCAAGATTTTACAGATTTTTTTTCCTGCTATTCAAAATTTAAAATAAAGCTCTCAATCATATAGCCTCTTGTTTGGTGTTTGGATTAACTAATCCACTCTCATTTGACCTTATGCTTTCTGATCTAAGTTACGTATTGCTGTGTAAAAAAACCACCTAAAACTTACTGTCTTAACTCAGTGTATTGTTTCTCATGAGGGTGTCAGTTGATTGTATCTGGTTGGATAGTTCTAGTCTTGCTGTAGTTTATTTCTACAGCTGCGCTCAGCAAGATGATAGGTGAAGGCCATGAAGGTGACCTTACCTGCTGCCTGGAGACTTGGTGCCTGAAACTCTCTCCATGTGCTCTCCGATTCTTCAGTGCCTTGATTTATGTACTTGGCAGTGGGAGTGTTCCAAGAAAGAACAGTAGCATCTGCAAGGCCTCTTCAGGCCTAGGCTCTGAAGTCACAGGAAATTATTTTGCATTTTATTGGTGAAAAATTGCAATGGAAAATTCTAGATTTCAAGCATAGGGAAAAGTGTCATCTATTGATAGTGTAAACAGCCAATTCATTTTTTAAGTGTAAAAATAAGTGAGACACATTTTTATGTGAACTCTACTGGGGGTCACTTTTGTAGCAATGTTTTCCATCTCAAGATCACAGTGTATTTACTGGTTGTATAATTTAAATTTTTCACATCATGCATTTGAATAAGACAGTTTATTGTTTCTTGGAAAACACTGAGTTGGCTTCTTTGGCAGTTGATACTCTGACAGTTCAGTTTCTTCTTCCCTATTCTATGGTGTGGACTTTTTTTCTCACTAGTACAATTTTTTTTTATTAATTTTTCTTGGTGTTCAATTTACCAACAATACAGAATATCACCCAGTGGCTCATCCCGTCAAGTGTACCCTCAGTGCCGTTAAATTCACCCCCACCACCCCTCATCCCCTCCACATCCAGTTCATTTTTTTTTTTTCCCCCCAGAGTTAGAAGTCTTTATGTTCTGTCTCCCTTTCTGATATTTCTCACACATTTCATGCTCTATGGATTGCAAGAATTTAATATTGTGGAAAATGTCAATGTTACCCAGGTGCAATCTTTCACGTTTAATGCAATCACTAGGTACAATTTATTGGACTCCACTGCCATGGCTTTTAGCTATTTGGGTTGGTTGGTTTTTTTCTTTTAAAGATTTTATTTTATTCATGAGACAAAACACACACACACACACACAGGCAGAGGAAGAAGCAGGTCCATGCAGGAAGCCGGTGTGGGACTCAATCCGGGTCTCCAGGGTCAGGCCTGGGCTGAAGGCAGCACTACACCGTCTGAGCCACGAGGCTGCCCGGTTGGTTGTTCTTGAATAAGGTCTAAGGACTTGGGTATTTGAAAGTGGTCACTTACTAAGAGAAACCTGTTCTCGTGATACTTTAACATGTTTCTCTGACCTGCTGAAGTTAAGAAATACCTGAATGCTTTTTAGGGATTTCTGGGCCTCTACCCGTGCTATAGAGTTGAATTTCCAGAGCTTTTGAGTCACTGAGGTAATGTACTCCTTGTCCCAGTCTTCTCTTGGTTAATCTGAAATTTAGTTTACTGTACACATGGTTCCATTTCGAAAAACGTGTGGTAATATCTGATATCAGTAAAGGCTTGGAGCATTGCAGCCCTCCGAGCATTTGGGAGAAGCTAGTCAGGTGGGCCAATTTTTTTTTGGACGGAGGTGGCTTGTACCCGGTTCCCTTCAGGAGAGCAGTTTCCCTGGAGTATGGTCCAGCGCGCTGGGCCCCAGATCCCAGGGCACCGAAGCAGACAAAGCCAGAACCTGCACATCACCCTGGACAGCGCCGGAACAGGGAGGGCAACAGGACAGCAAGAACTCTCCTGCCTGCTGACGCCCTGCAATCTGTCAGATCATGCCCCCGGCCTGCCCCCAGGAGCATCTAGCAAGTGCGGACTGAGAGACTGCGGTATTCACTCACGGGAGCTCGACTCCAGAACAGGAAAAATCTGTCCGCGCCAGTGTTTTTTTTCCTCTTTGTTTACAACCTGTGCCTGGGAGGGAGGAGGGGCACCAGGGACCACAGAGTCCTCACCGGATAAACAGCACACACAGAGCCCAGCACCGGGGCATCGCCCTCAGGCACAGACACCGTGAGAATGACACAGCAAGACCCTCCCCCAGAAGAACTGCTATAAGAACAGGGGAAGAGTCAAGTTTACTGACCAAGCAAGCACCGGAAAGCTCCAATCAGGGAAAACGTATATCGAACTAGAGGTGCACCGCCCCTTGCCCCCCCTTCCCCCATTATGACTCATTTTTTATTCCCAGACTGAAAAATTTCCAATGTTTTTCTCTTTCCCATCTATCTAACAATATTTTTAACCACTCATTTTAAAAGTTTTTTCCTTTTTAGCTTTCCATATTTCTACATTACATGTCCTTAGATACATTTTTCACTTCTGGATTCCCTTCAACGTATTTCCCAAATTTAATTTTGGTAGATACATGAAATAGTTTTTTTTTTTTTTTCCTGCCTCGTTTTTTGTTTTACAATGGGGAAGTCAGTACCTTCTAAAACATGACCAACACACCACCCATAGAACCAAGTAGACATCAGTGTTGGTCATTCTGTGAGATTCCCTCTTCCTTCCCATTTCTCAGTTCTATACCCCTTCTATTTTTGTTTTGTGGTCATTGTAGGATTTATAGTATTGCTTGGCTTATATAAAATTAAGATTGAGCATCTTCTAACATACGAACAAATACACTCAGAACCAGAGGATCTCCCTCTAGCCCCCTCAGGTAGACGCATTCTCTCTCCAACTACCACTTTCTCACCACTACACACCATCCACTCCCCCCCCCCTTTTTTTTTCCTTTTTCCTCTTTGTTCTTGTTTTTGCTTTTAATTTTGGACCTACTTTGTATAAAATTTTCACTTTAAGTGGTCCTTTTATTTTATACTTTTTCTTTATTCTCTGGTCTCTGACCTCTTTGGAATCATCTAGGGTGTATTTTACTTAGGTTGTGGTTGATATTTTTTATTCAGCTCGCTCATACAGCCAGTCTGCACTAAGCAAAATGACTAGAAGAACTCACCACAAAAGATAGAAATGGAAACAGTACTCTCTGCCACAGAGTTACAGAGTTTGGATTGCAATAGGATGTCAGAAATTCAATTCTAAAGTACAATTCTAAAGTTAAAAAGCATAAAGGACTCTAGATCTCAATTCTGCAGTAACGAAGTCTCTAATCAGGCCGAAATTAAAAATACTTTAACCAAGATGCAATCCAAACTGGATGATCTAACTGCTAGGGTTAATGAGGTGGAAGAGAGTGAATGACACAGAAGACAAGTTGATGGTAAGGAGAAAAGCTGAGGAAAAAAAATTAAGAGCTCACAAGGAAAGGCTTAGGGAAACAAAGGATAGCTTGAGAAGGAAGAATATACATCAAATTGCAATTCAGAAGAGACAGAGAGAGAGAGGATCACAAAGTATATTTTAACAAATCATAGCTGAGAACTTCCCTAATCTGGGGAAGGAAACAGGCATTCAGATCCAAGAAATAGAAAGGACCCCTTTCAAAAAAAAAAAAAATCAATAAAAACCATTCAACACCTCAAACTTGCAAATTTCAAAGATAAAGAGAAAATTCTTAAAGCAACTTGAGAGACGAGATTCTTGGGATCCCTGGGTGGCGCAGCGGTTTGGCGCCTGCCTTTGGCCCCGGGGCGCGATCCTGGAGACCCCGGATTGAATCCCATGTCGGGCTCCCGGTGCATGGAGCCTGCTTCTCCCTCTGCCTGTGTCTCTGCCTCTCTCTCTCTCTCTCTCTATCATAAATAAATAAACATTTTAAAAAAAAAAGAGAGACGAGATTCTTAACTTATATGGGGAGAAAATGCAGATTAACAGCAGACCTCTCCACAAACAGCTGGCAGGCCAGAAAGGGATGGCAGGATATATTCAGGGTCCTAAATGAGAAGAACATGCAGCCAAGAATACTTTATCCAGCAAGGCTCTCATTCAGAATGGAAGGAGAGATAAAGAGCTTCCAGGATAGGCAGAAACTGAAAGAATATGACCACAAAGCCAGCTCTGCAAAAAATATTAAGGGGGACCCTGTAAAAGAGAGAGGAAGCCCAAAGAAATAATTCACAAAAACAGGGACTGAATAATACAATGATACTGCACTCATATCTTTCAATAGTTACTCTGAATGTGAATCTACAAGAGACTGATTTTAGACGTAAAGACACCTCCAGCCTAAAAATGAAGAGGTGGAGAACCATTTACCATTCAAATGGCCCTCAAAATAAAGCTGGAGTAACAATCCTCATATCAGATAAATTAAAGCTTATCCCAAAGACTATAGTAAGAGATGAAGAAGGACACTATATCTTACTTAAAGGATCTATCCAACAAGAAGACCTAACAATCATGAATATTTGTGCCCCTAATGTGGGAGCGGCCAAGTAAATCAATTAATAGCCAAAGTAAAGACATACTTAGATAATAATACACTAATAGTAGGACACTTCAACATGACAGTTTCAGCAAATGACAGATTTAAGCAGAACATCACCAAAGAAACAGGGCCTTAAAAGATACATTGGACCAAATAGATTTCACAGATATATACAGAACTTTCCATCTGAACACAACTGAATACAGATTCTTCTCAAGTGCATATGGAACTTTCTCCAGAATAGATCACATACTGGTTCACAAATCAGGTCTCAACTGATACCAAAAGATTGGGATTGCGCCCTGCATATTTTCAGACCACAATGCTTTGAAACTAGAACTCAATCACAAGAAGATATTTGGAAGAAACTCAAACACATGTTGGTTAAAGAGTATCCTACTAATAGATGAATGGGTCAACCAGGAACTTAGAGAAGAATTAAAAAGATTCATGGAAACTAATGAAAATGAAGATACAACAATTCAAAATCTTTGGCATATAGCAAAAGCGATCCTAAGAGGGAAACACATCGCAATACAAGCCTCCCTCAAAAAATTGGAAACACCAATAAACAAGCTAACCTCGCACCTAAAGGAACTGG